TCAGCAGGGCTGAAGCAAGAAAACCCTAAAACATACAGGCCAGTGCGCCATGAGGACCAGGGTTGGGAAACACTGCACTATGGAGTTTCTGTGAACCCTGAACTTTGGTGGAACTAAACCAGGCCTAAATACATGCTGGAGGTACTAGTTCTCTGCTGACTGGGGATCGCCTTGGGGTTCCCCCAAAGGAGCTGGGCTAAATGACATGGCAGAGGGAAGTCTGACTCTCTCTGCTAAGGCTGCTGCTTCCGCAATCCAACTTTAGATAAGAGGAAGATAATAATAAATGTTAGACAATCACTTAACCTAGTATACTTTTTGCAAAAGACAAAAATCTGTGTTTTCTCAGAAATTTGTTTTTTTTATCCTTTTTCTTCATTTGTGCTCTAGTGACTAGTTCCTCGTTTTGCCCTGGTGCATCACATTTTAATTGAAATACATCAAAAACGGCACGTGACTTTGACCAGACAGTATGCATCTATGTTTAGAAGAAAAAAAGTTCTTCATGTCTTTAAAAGTAATTTTGTTAGAACGTTTTTTGTCGAACTGCGATGATAAGCTTGGACCTAAACTAAACATGAACCTCAATCTCCACACAGGACTCTCTTCTCCATCAATCTTCCAATCAAATCTAATCAGAATTTGTGAAGGAATCATTTTGTCTGTAAATGTGTTAACTGTGGAATCGTTCAACTAATTTCTTTATGACAATCTTAACTTTTTTCTGTTTTGCAGTGAATGTTATGTAATCTCTGTGTACTGCTGCCAGTCTTAGCCAGGATTCTTGTGTAAAAGAGATTTTTAATCTCAATGAGAAAATTAATAATAATAATAATAATAATAATAATAATAACTCCAATATTTTAGTAGGGTGTTGTTAGTTTTTGCAGTCTTTTTTTGCAGGGACTATTTCAAAGAACATCAATAGTTTTCTCAGTCTGTTGTGCTGAAAACATCATCAGTTTCCACCTTTTCACAGCCATGAAAACAGTTTTACTCCCTTAAATAATGAGCCCCAATTTGCTAAGCCTCACTGTGATGAGACTGACGAATGAATTAAATTCTTGCCTCTCATAATGATGGTCTTGACTTTAGTTGGAGTTAGCTTGGAGAAGTTTTGTGTTAGTAGGACACAAAGCAAACAAAAAGTAAGTCAGTATTTATCTTAGCCTCTGGCCCCTGGACCAATTACAATGAATAAAGGCGAGCAGCCCATGTCTCTGCTCTGGGAATATGAAGGCATTTGGCTCTGGACTCCAGGGGCGGTTTGGCTTTGCCCCGTCACCCCAGACCCCCAACTCACCATCAGAAAGAGGGTTGTTAATTTGTTGCGCTTGACCCCGGGCTTTGTGCCTGATGTGTATCTAGTTTGTAAAAAGTGCTTTTATCTGGTTTCTAAATATGTCTGGGCTCACAGGGTTATGATGCTTTTATATTGGTCAGGGAGGGAGACAATGGTCAAAGGGTACAAGGGCTGACCCCATACCCCCCACCCCACACTCCCTCTCTCTGGTTCACTCCCGAGCCTCCTCTCCCTTGCTCCGTCGGCCCTTTACACACCGATATGCATGATCAAACATTAGCATGCACACAATCATGCACTTTCTCTCTCACAGATTCACACACACATATGCTAGGACCCCGTTGTTCCATCTTCACCCCCTGTGGTCCTTTTGGCTTCTGTTCGTGTCTTCTGTGTGTAGGGTCACCAGGACATTCCTCAGTCAGCCCCTTGGCTGTGTTCATCCAGCTGGAACCAACTGGGATCCAACACCAAGCATCCACACCAGCCACACAACACAAATCATCTGCAACCATGATGGTTTCCAAGACTGTTGGTAATTTTCACAACACACCGCTTTGCAATGTGAACATTAAGAACATTATTCCAATGTTAGGACTTTTACATTAGAACACGAAAAGAGCCAAAAATAATATATTAAGTCCAATTCCATTTTAGGTGGAGAATCACAGATGTGCTTGATTGGGTTCTAAAAAAAGCTCCAGGTTAAAACTAAAATTTATTACAGGATGTATAAATGCATTCCTGAAAATCCAATTACAGGGCAGAATTCAGGACAGAAATACTGTTTGCAAGGGCAAAAAGCATTAACTTTTGGGGAAGAACAAATTTTAGACCTTTGCTAAGGTAGATAAGATCGGGGGATAAGATCGACCGATCACCGATCTCCCAAAATTAAGGAAAATGGCGTCCATAAATCGGCTGGCTGATAAATTGGTGCACCCCTAACTTACATCTTGCTCAAATTTCCACTGTAACCCAAAGAAGCTTCACAAAAAATTTAAGCAAAGTTCCATAACTGTAAAGGAAATACCCTCCAAAAATGATCTAATAATATCAAACCACTCTTCAAAAATAAATAAATAAATACATCTATTGTAGTGTAAACAAAACTTCAACAAGATGTAACAGCTGTGCGGCAAAATATGCCAACTTATAAATGCATAGCGCTTATACTTTAAAATTACAAATTTTAACTGTAGGCCTTCAGCTAAAAATAAATGTTTTAACCATCCATTTATCTTGACAGACATTTTAAAAAAATCTGTATTTCCTCCTCTTCCTCCTCCTTCTACTATGTCCTCTTCTCTCTTCCTCTTCTTCCTCCTTGTCTTCTTGTATCCTCCACTTCCTACAACTCTTTATCACAGCATGATAAAATAAATTAAGCTACCAAATTGACTTTAGTGAATGTAATATGTCTTAATGACTCAAACACTTTACATGCAGGCGAGTGGATAAATGAGAGGAAAAAGTGCTCTAAACTTCAGCAGTGGGCCATTACTTACTAGGAATATGAAAGCAATTTTGTTCACAGTATAAGATCAGCTCTCAGTGAGATGCGTTTAGTCCCTCTAAAAATTAAACATATCAATGAGCAAGGGTTTTCATAAAACTGTACATTTTCATTAAAACTCAATTTATATTTAGTACTCAAGAATTCAAGGATTTTTTATTGTCATGCCACATTTGCTTGTTTGTGGTATGAAATTTGGACTCACATTAAAAAATCTAATGCACAAATAAAAAATAAGCTGTGACCTATTTTGGTCACAATTTGTATTCATTATGGCTGCAGGGAATTTCACGCTGTTCTAGTTAAATTTTTCCAGTCAGGTAAAATAAAAATAGATACTAGTTTTCAAACAGTATTACGATGTTTGGTCACCCTTACCTCCAATGAAATTCACATATGAAAACCATATACCACATGAAAAATGAACATATGCCATCTGTAGTCATCAAGGCAGATGGTGAACTAAGCAATCAGAAATCAAAAGTGCAACAGGCTGAACGGGAGGTAGGTTAGGTGTCAGGGGCGCGAGATTACTGTCTTTATTCTTGCTTGACCAATAAACAAGCCTCCTGTCACCAGGTGGCAGCAGTGTTCAAATTGATCAACAGGCTGCCAGTAGAAGTAGCCTACAAAGACACACTGAGGATAAAAGCACGAGAGAGATGGAGAAGTTTCTGACAGTGAAAACAAAAATGGCGGTAGAGGTAAAGGAAGTATGCCTTTACTTTTACTGAGAGAATTTAATAAAAAAAAAATACAAGAATAAAGTCATAATCTTACGAGAGCAAAAATATTTTATTAGAGTAGTTATATTACTGGCAGAATAAAGATGCAATTTTGCCAAAAGTTGTAACATTCTCACATGTATATAAAAAAGTTATATTAATAAGATAGATGTGACCTGCTCAGCAAGTCTGGTTCTTTCTTTGAAATAAACAGCTGCCTAAACAATAGCTTCAATGTCCTGGGACTGATCATTTGATTCTGATGTGTTAAAAGATTAAGTATTTTCTTATCTGTAAACCCAACACCAGTCACAAGATGCTGAGTATTCCTCATTTCAGTGCAGTGTGGTGCAGATTCTCATGAAATTATGATTTTATTATCACATTATTACAAATTCACTTTGGTACTTCAAAGACACAAGCAAAACACTTAGTCCACTCCATCATAAGCACGTTACTGTGCTCATAGAAAAAGGCCAGGAAATAGATAAAACCTACTTGCTGTGAATTCAATATTTTATGTGCTTTTCATCTCTTCTGACAAGCTGAGATGTCAGGTATAAATTCAAGCTGGGAGACTCTGCTTACCTGCAACACCCAATTACCACACACCCCCCTCAGCCAACCAGCACCAAGTCGTCGCTCCGTCTCAGTCAATCATCACTCAAGATCCCCTTCAAGAGGCCAAACAACCATCGATCCACCTGCTTCCCAGCCGTGCTTCGATTAAGATAGCTGGTACATGCTCTCAGATGACCTTGTGGATTCTCCGACCCTTGTTCCCAATGACCCCGAGCAAATGTTAGCAATTGGGTAATATTTAAAACACTCAACACAGTCCACGCCTTCAGGAAGCGATAATTTCTCAGTGGACCCTGTGTACGAAGCATAGTGTAGGGTAAAGGCCTGGTTTATGCCAAGCTAGGTAAACCCTGCAGAGAGGGGTTTTGGAGGAATCTAGTGATGCAATGATCTGTTCAAATTAACAAATCATTTGACTGAACAAACTGGATAAAATAATTTAATTACCTGATTCATTCATTTCTTAGTTCATCTTGGGTGAAGGGGTGAACTTCCATGTTCTGTGACCCATTAAATGTATGATAAAGATTCGCCCAATGAGAGACAGTGCCACTCCAGCACAGTTCCTGTACTGCCAATCAGAAGGCATGCTGTTCTCGCCAAATGGATGGAACAAAGTGCCTGCGCATCCGTGATCCGTTCAAGCGGCATGAATGGCACAGTATGCTGTGCTGTTGGACGTGAGCCGTTCACACTGTGACACACATAGAGCATCGTACCGCAAATCACGAAGTGAGTTGTTCAGTCTTTTATTATTTTTTCTACGCTGCCTGCTTATTATCGCTGTTATTCTTGTCTTAAAGCAGGAATAAACAGTGGTGTAGTGTACATTTTTGTAATACACTGTGCTTTGAAACAAAAGTAAACCAGTTAGTGCAAGGTAATAAGCACTTTATTTAGATTTTTAACCATATTTAATAATGCAACATTTCTGATACTTGTATTTGATTGTAACACAAACTTTGTACAATAGGTGGCTTTATATTAAAGACGTGGTACAATTTATAACAAACAATTTTTGTCTGCATTTCTTTTACAGTATGTTCCACAATTTCTGTGGAGCTTTTTGTTGAGTGGAGACCAGTGCCCACGTTGACAACAATTTCTCTGGAACGTCAGTGAGATGATCAAGATCAGTAAAATGTCTATTCATCTTGGCAATATAGTATGCTGTTCCAAATACAACATCTGTCTCAGCTGTATCTCACAGTTTGTACTTCAGTTTGTCAGCCCTTTACATCTCATGCTGCCGAATCTTGGTCCGGAGTGAAGACAAGCTGCTTCTCTGTTCTCACTTGAGCCTGATGACTAGATCTTGAAGTAGACCCACTCCTCAGATCTGGAGATCCTCCTCTCTGCCAGGGCATCGGTTGACTTCATGGTAGTGCAAACAGCACATCCTGCAAGTACATAAAAATGATCATAGTCATATAGTTTTTAAGTTTTCCTAATATTTCTGTTACCAATAGCATCTGCTGCTGGATCAAGTTTAATCATACGTTCATAATTCGAGTCATATTTAAATTATTTACACTGTTGCTTGCATTACTACCAACTTAAACCTGAGAATGAAAATATTGGGCTTTAATATATACTGTACTATCTTCCCTGCACCTTGCAATGACTGTTCTGTGTGACGAGCTACATTATAAAATGTTTGCCAAAAAGACTATATTTCACTAAACTTAATATTTGATTATCATACAACGTTTTGCAAATGATCAACATGTCATGTATTCATTTTGTAAAGGTATTTTTTAAAATCACATTTAATAGCTACTATAATCTGCACAGATTTATTATATTTCCTAAGCTTCATATATACACACATTTGTTCCAATGCTTGCTGGCATTTCACTTTCTCTCCCTCCATTCTTACTAAGCATGTCTGTTTTCAAATTCTCAAGCCTGATTCTTCTTCTACATGGTTGCAATTGCTCATACTAACAATTAACCAAATTTTTAAAAAATGTATACAAAGTTTACAATAGCACAAAGCATAACGTTTTGTTAATTATTGGAATGACGACACACTTTGACACAAGCATGTCATTTTTATATTCACATATTTATTTAATGTTTGTCCGATATACTTCCACTCATTAAAAATGTTACTATGAAATGTTACTGCAAATACCTGAACTGCACAATGACATGCAGTTGCTGATTGGGCTAGCTTCAGCTAACATGTTTACTAGCTACTTCTACTTACCAGAGGTAAAGTCGACATCGGCCTCATAGTTTCGGCCGTCAAACTGGCAGATTCTTCTAAGCCGCCCCTGTGAATTCAGGGGTTTATCAAGGGCAGCTTGTTTTCTCATCGCTTTCGATCTGTTGCTGTAAGCATTGCACTGGGACAGGACAAACAATAAATTGCTTATCATTCATAGACATTAAAATAATAACCCGGAAAACACTGCAGGACGGTGAATTTTTAATTCAAGCAAAATCAAATTTTGATAAATGTACAGAAAACATTAACAAATCTTTTTCAAAAGAAATGTCAGTGATGCCAAAGATAAAAATTTACTGAAGATGCTAAAAGATGAAATTGTTTATCAATATTTGAACATGACAGCAGAGGTGGAAAGAGTACAAAAAAATTAGGCTACTCAAGTAAAACTGCTGTTATTTTTTATTTAAATTTGCGCTTAAATACAAGTTACTAACATCAAAAGTAACAAGTACCTCTTTAAAATGTTACATTAGTTACTTTGTGATGAGCAAAACAAAGTTCTGCTCATCACAAAGGAAATGAGAACATAATGTTCTAATTTTTTTTTAATCTAAAGGACCAGATTTATAAATAAAAAAGCAACACAAAATATTGTGTATTTTTAATGGGACATTCATTTCCAACATCTTATGTCAGCTGAGTTTATCCCTCCTATCTAATAGTTTTAAATAATCGATTCCAAACTAATCACCTGATTTTGTGTTTTCAAATTTAGTCAATACATGTCATAATCACAAGTACTTGATAAAACTGACATTTACTTTTGTGGTTAAAATATTATTCAAGTTCACAATGCATCATACAGCTAATGCTTGTACTTACAGTTAAACTGATGCATTAAATTCAGCAAAGGGTTTTATTTTTCTCACAAGTTAACCTGAGCTAAACTTGATGGGTTTTTCTTGCTCCTCTGTCTTCCAATTGATGCCACACCATTTAATACAAACCCAGCTGAAAGATCAATGCCGGTTTTTCTTATGTTTTATCTTTACTCATTAATGGATATGATTTCAAATGCAACTGAGTAGCTCTACTCAAAACAAATTCAAGTAAAAGTAAAAATTCAGGTTTTGTAAAGGTGCAACATAGACAAATTGGAATTACAGCAATACGAGTAAATGTAAGTAATTACTTTCCACCCTCTGTGCCAGAGCCAAAATATAATATATATATATTTCTTCCACATTGTGAAGCTCTTCTACAGTACAGTAAAATAGTTATGCTTTTATTTGTTTTGGTTCGCACAACGAGCCACTGACGATTTTCGTCATAGTACCCAGCAAGAATTTCAAACTCCTTTCGCCCCTGCTGATAACCCAGCAGACTCGTGTTTCTGTGATGAGCTCTAACTACATAACAGGCTAAGCTAGTTGTTTAGAACAAGTTGAAACTCCACTACAGCTGTTTGTCCACCTGTTCATTTCTCGCTAGCTAAATAGACCAAAACAGTCTTCCTGGTAAACCAAAGACCAGAGAACACCTGTATGAGGCCGAGATATAATGAAAGGTGCTCGGTTTGTGTTTGTGTTGTGATTGTGCACGAAGGCTTATGTGTGCTAAGTGTTTCTCCCACTGTGTTTATGTGTGTAGTAAGTGTGGGGCATCTGCAAGGTGTGTCTCTCTCTCTTTGGGAGAATGCCTGCGTGTAATGCATGTCTGGATGAAGCTATCTGTGTTTGCAAGGAATGTAAGCCATGTGTGTGTGTGAGAATGTGTGTAATGAGGGGGTTCAGAGGGAGCTGTGATTATTCTCACCTCCTGTGGTGCAGGTCCTCTGGCTCTGTGGGCCCCAGGGAAAGCGCCCTGTATTTAGCGTGTGGGAACACACATTCTGCCCCCTTATCGCTGTATTGTTGCTGCTTCGCTCTTTTCTTCTCTTTTCTTAACTAATTGAATTCTTGACTCCTGAGCCACAGGGACTGCTCAGGAGAGACCAAAGAGAAAGACATGAATTTCGGGCTTTTTCTTGCGGTTGAGTGGGACAGAGCAGTGGGGGTGAAACTGGAGTGTGTGAGGTTGGATGGTGGCAACAGCAGCAGTGGGAGTGCAGTCGGAGAAGGCTGTCTGGGTGGCTACAGTGGCGTCACCCTATACTTACTAGAGGTCAAAGGTCTTCCCCCCCTGGTAGCGGTGAGAAAGTACTGAATTGGGGACGGTTTATCCAACAATCTTGTCCTGTTTTTGGAATGTTTCAAAGGCACTTTTAGTCCATGCGACAACTTTGTAGTTGTGCTTGAGGAATTCTTGACAAATCAAGGATAACCCCTTTGGCTGATCTCACCTCTCTTCAGGGTAGCTTCTCTCTTAACTGCCTTCTGCCACCCAAGCCCCCTTTCTTTACATTTATATTAAAGCAGTGTTGTCCCCTAAAGGTAATGCCTGCTTTGTACCGGGTTACCAACCTTGACTGACAGGTAAAGGACAAAGGGAATGTGCAGTCAACAGCGACAAATTGGTTCTTGACAAATGACCATCAAAAGCATCTCTTGAAGAATTTTTTTGAATTTGTATGTGTGTGTATATATACAGTATCTACATCCACAGAAGTGATGGGCAAATCTGACTGAAACCTCAGAGAAGGAGGGTGGTCGCCTCTACTAAGGTTCTTCAAGGTACGGAAATGTGGATAACATTTTCATACCTTACCAGAGTTATGGTGTTAGCATAGCATCGCAGCCTAGCACAACACCCAGGACACCCGTTTGAAGTGACACAACCAGCAGCCCCTGGTACCCCACAGATCATAAATGCACTGGCCGAAAACCCAACACCTACCAAACCCAACAGACATCTGCGAGATGTATGTATGTTTTTTCAGAATGTGAAGGCATCATGGATGAATTTTCTATTGCACTGTTAGATAATTTCTCTGTTACCCTTGGCTTTAGCCTGTGTCTACCAGGACGTCTCAGAAGTCACTGGACTGCTCCCAGTTTGACCAATAGACTGAACCCTGCCTGTGCCCTGTGTTGGCAGTATAATATAAATAAATCTGTATTTCAATGTCCACTTTTTTCTTTCACTCTGTGTATTTTTGAGTTAAACATCTCAATCTGAAGTGTTCGGGCATTAAGAGAGTTTCTGTAATGAAATAAATAGTTTAGTCTAGTAGACATTTTTTCACACATTGTCTATGCTGTCCGTAGCAGAGTTGACATATCATCCTATAATAACTATTTTTTTCCTGAAAAAAAAGTAAGAAAAGTATGTAGCCAATGTTTGACAATGACTGATTTATCAATGTTTATTGTCTTCACAATAAAATATCTAAAAATTAAAAGGAAATTACGTTTTTTCTTCCTTCATATCTAATGCAAATTAAATTATGGAATTGTGTAAATATGTTCATGAATACACTCCTGTGTGTGTGTTGTGTGTGTGTGTGTCTTCATCAATGTCAATATGAAAATGATTGATCAGAATCAGCTGACAAATATAAACATTGTGCTCTTTAAACAATTAATCACATCCAAAAATTAAAAACGTTGTCTTCAGTGCTTTCTTTAAATCCCAAATATATTAGAGTGTGACAGAATGTGTCACTGACAGGCACTGACTTAAAGTACTGTGTACAACGACGCTTTACAAAGTTCTGTCCATTTATTTCTGCCAGTATTTGCTTACTGACAGATACTCCACATTCAATATGGCGGATGCTGTGACGTATTGCAGCAATGGGCCGATCCAGGAATGACGCTGTGAGATTCAACCTATCGCACTAGAGCCCCATCATAGCGGCGCCTGTCGCTAGAGGAAAACTAACACTAAGAAAAAGAAAGAGGGGAAAACCAGAGGTGAACAATCTACTGTTGTACCCTGCAGATCCCCACTTCTCACCAAGTAATCTAAACGTGGACAAAAAAAGCCATGGACCAAGGCCACTGATCGGCTCGGTTTACTTTCCAATGCATCAGCGAACTTCAACGGGGGTGGCAGTTCTGTACCAGCCTTGGCATTTTAATGCCACAACAATGATTCTTATTAGACCTTGAGATGATATCAAGTGTAACAACAGAACATGGGATGGAATTAGACGTGGGATGACATGGGTGACCAGCAGATGGGTTGTTATGCCTTACATTATCGAGCGGATCATCCACTCACTGTTTAATGTCAACTAATCCACAAGATTGGATCATCAAAGAAAACAAAATGCCGGGGTGAGGTGACTCAAAGCATGAGAAAGTGTGTATGAAGGAACTGACTTCTTTTAAGGCTGCAGAATATAACTTTTATTAAAAATATGTTGTTGTTTTTTACACATTTAGGGTGATGATGGTGATGTAGGTGTTTGCCCTGCAGAGGGTTGCCACTTTGGTTCCCAGTCCATCCACCTCTGTCATGTCCTTAGGCCTTGTGTTGGTAGTGGTCAGGAGGGTCAGTGACACGAAATGACAGCCTCACTTTAAACTACAATCCCTCACTATGCTCAAGAGATCTCCACCACCACTTGGCTGGATCTCTGCTGAATTAGGTTAGTCACTTTAAAGGGAGTGAATATCTATTGTATGGTAAATATTACTTGGCATTATTTTGTAGAAATCAATTTTTACTTCCACTGCAAAGGGTTTATTTTTTATTTTTTTGTAAAAAAGCCAAATTATGTTGCTTATATTTGATTCATAAAAGTTGTAAAAGGGTAAAGCACCTAAGGTACATCTATAGGACGTGTAATTTAGTCTTTAGTAAATGATCTATAAGGCATAAGGTTATGTGCTTCTAAAACGTTCTAAACTAAGCTCAGCAAATTATCTTAAGAAAGTACTTACCTCTGAGTGGGACTAATCGCAACAGACCAAACTCTGTCAAACATGGGAATCGTTCCTAAGGGGGAGCTGGAGGTCAAAGTCCACATCTAGAGAAACAAATGTCACCAGTAACAATATTTTTAACGCATGCTTAGGTCAGAATCAGAATTAATTTCAATGCCATTGTGCACATATAAAGCACAACGAAATGTAAAAAAAAATGCAACTCTCAAAACACAGAACACCTGGGATGTTAAAATAAGTAAATAAATATCAAGTTTTAGATGGATTAGCTGTGTTCATGGCAACAAGAGCTCTTGGGTATAAACTGTTTTGTAGTCCTTTTGTCCTTGACTTTATTGCCCTGAAACACCTCCCTGAGGGCAGGAGTTTGAACTGGTGGTGGCCGGGCTGTGAGCGGTCCTTGATGATGCTACTGGCTCTCCGGAGGCAGCAGGTCCTGTAGATATCCTCCAGAAATGGAAGAAATGGAAGAGGGCAGCCAATCAATATCTGGGCAGAATCTCTGGAGCTGCTTCCTCTCTGCCGCTGTGCAGCTTCAGAACCACAGCGAGATCCTCAACACCGACTCCACAGGGCAGCAACAGAGGGCCACCAAGAGCTCAGGTCTTAGATTGTTCCTCCTGAGAATCCTCAGGAAGGACAGTCTCTGTTGTGCCTCCTTCAGGACTGAAGTGGAGTTAGCGTTCCAGGTCAGGTCTTCTCTCAAGCAAACTTGAAATTTAGCACCATCTCCACCCTCTCCCCATTTATAATG